CCCATCGACTATCCATTGATACAAGTCGATTATACACAAAATTATGAAAATAATATAAATGAAATTGGCCTTGTTATCACAATTAAACCTCTCGGCCAATCTGGTTTACACATACGACATTGAAAATAACTCAAAGAAAATTCAAAACCTATAAACAATACCAGGTAAATGTTTGCACCTTTAACGGGAGCAGAAAACGGGTCCCCTTTGATTGATAGTTTCAGATAGAATCTGAAACTGTTGTCGAATTTGAGTTTCGTGGGGGAGTAAGGTCTAGCAAAACTAAATGAAAACCCTGCACAATTTCAATCACCTACACCTTAATTGTAGCAAATAAACTTTACATTGATCATTGTTTCTACTTTGTAAATATCATTTTACTGGGTGTTCATCGATCTCAGGGGACGTTTAATCCGGTCCACAGGAGTTTTAAACTTGTTTACCAATGGAATCTTGCTGCCGACGCCAGTAAGGTCAGGAATACTTGACGCTTTGTTCACAGTCGACTTTAAATTCTCTTTGTCTACAGGCTTCTTGGCAGACAAGACCTTGGGGCGTGGCACAGCAGCCTGTTGATTAAAAAAAGAGTCATTAATAAAAATAACGCTTTCGTCAGATTCTATGTTATTAGCTCTATGGCTGATCCGGAAGAGTGCATGCTGTTCCCCCGTGAGGTCCCTTCCTTATATAGTCTGAAGGGACCGTAGTGCAGCAGTGCTATTATCATACTTGGAACCAAAGCTTGTGCGTGGTTTAAAGACCAACTCACGTTTAGTGCCCTTATCGAATTGGGAATCTGTTTTGATCTTCTCCATCCCTTACTTTTCCTTTCTTGATTTTTTTTCTTTCAAGTTTAACTGTCGAAAATAATCCAGCATCATGTTCTCTGTCCCAATATTTCACTGGCTTTGCTTCTCTTAAAGCTCACGCCACCCTCTCAACCAATCAGATGAATCGCACCTTACTTCGAGCTCCCATTGGCTCCCTATGAAGTTTTCCTTGATTCCGATTGGCTTATTCGATAATTTAGTCTTGGCCTTTCGATTGAGCACAATTGTAATGCAGTGCAATCTTTCTTACCCGTGGTTCTGCAAACACAGCCTCATCAGCAGTAGTGTGAGCATCATTTTCTCCATCCTCAAGGCTGTCGTCATCAAGTAAATCTCCCTCACTGTTGCGAAGTG